TTGGTTCAAAATTGGGAAAGGAGTACAACAAGGCTGTATATTGTCCCCTAGTTTATTTAACTTATATGCAGAATACATCATGCGGAAGGCTGGACTGGAGGAATCCCAAACCGGGATTAAGATTGCCGGAAGAAATATCAACAACCTCCGATATGCAGATGATACCACTCTGATGGCAGAAAGTGAGGAGGAATTAAAGAACCTTGTAATGAGAGTGAAAGAGGAGAGTGCAAAAAACGGTCTAAAACTCAACATCAAAAAAACTAAGATCATGGCCACTGGTCCCATCACCTCCTGGGAAATAGCAGGGGAAGATATGGAGGCAGTGTCAAATTTTATCTTCCTGGGCTCCATGATCACTGCAGATGGAGACAGCAGCCACAAAATTAAAGATGTCTGCTTCTTGGGAGGAAAGCGATGACAAACCTTGACAGCATCTTAAAAAGCAGAGACATCACCTTGCCAACAAAAGTCCGAATAGTCAAAGCTATGGTTTTTCCTGTCGTGATGTATGGAAGTGAGAGCTGGACCATAAAGAAAGCAGACCGCTGAAGAATTGATGCCTTTGAATTGTGGTGCTGGAGGAGGCTCTTGAGAATCCCCTGGACTGCAAGGAGAACAAACCTATCAGTTCTAAAGGAAATCAACCCTGAGTGCTCACTAGAATGACAGATCCTGAAGCTGAGGCTCCAGTACTTTGGCCATCTCATGGCCAAAGTACTGGAGAAAAGACTCCTTGGAAAAGACCTTGATGTTAGGAAAGTGTGACGGCAAGAGGAGAATGGGACGACCGAGAATGAGATGGCTGGACAGTGTCTGCGAAGCAACCAACATGAATTTGACACAACTCCGGGAGGCAGTGGAAGATAGGCGGGCCTGGCGTGCTCTGGTCCATGGGGTCACGAAGAGTCGGACACGACTAAACGTCTAAACGACGAATTACATTAGGCTCCTCCCACTGATACCAAGTGCTAGTGCATGCAAGATTGCTATAATCCCAGTACTGTGTTTTCTACTGGATGCTGTAATCAACCTCAATCCAATAGGCCAAACTGACATTGTGGTATATATTAGAAAAGAAAACAATTGGAAGTTAATGCTAGTTCATTTTTCTGTTGCCCTCCCTCTTTTAAAGTCTGTTTTAGTGAGCCAGAGGACAGAGTTAATAGGAATATAATCTCCATGGAGTTTGGATTTCATAAAGACAACGAGGGGAAAAAATTGGCTTGACTGAATTAATCATAGTAAAAGCTAACATGCTTTATTGTTTTTGGAACGTGCCTGCCGCAAGCCAAGCAAAAGCTGGGGATTTGACACAGGTTGTGCGAAACAAAGCAGTTAAAATGTCCTGTAGTTATATTGTTGCCATATTTCATTCCACAGGGTATATAAATATACTTTTCCTATTATAAATGCAAAGGCTGGTGAAGGTATATCACAAGAGATGTCTCCAGTTTAATCCCTGCATGCCCAGTACACGACAAAAAGCTTCTCATGAAAACAGGACATTTTTGATGCTGCTGGGGAGGAAAGTTTACAGCATAAGATTTTTCCTTTTTTCATGGATTTCACCAGGTCAAATTGCTAATGACAGTAATAAACATTGTGGGTAGCTTTGTTTTTTTTTCTTAAATTAAAAAAAAGGTATGAAGGATTAGGACTGTACAATTATGAAAAAAATTACGTACTTGCATCTGTATCGCTATAAACATATTAAGCCACTCTTGCGAACAAATGTATTCTTGACTCTTTGCATTGCAGTGGGATTTCTACCCATCTGCCCATGAAACTGTATCATATGGAAAGCTAGATTAGATTTTAAAAAAAAGGTGGACTTACAATTAGTGGAAGAGAGTTAAAATATGCAAATAATACCATATTACTGACAGGAAAAAGCAATGATATAAAATGACAATTTAGGCAATTTTGGAGAGCCCAGGAAAGCTGGGAGTTCAATTCCTCACTGTGCCTTCTTGACAGGGGCTAGACTCAATGATCCATAGACTTCCTTCCAGATCTGCAGTTCTAAGATTATGACGATGAATTTAAACAAGAAAGGGCAAAAGCAGGATCACAGTTGAACTTTAAGAAGGCACGGAATTCTTTAGCTTTAATGTTGACAGTGGACAAACTGAAATTGCTAAACATTTTCTATACTTTGGTTTGATTATCAATCCAAATGGAGAATGCAGCCAAGAAATTTTAAGACTAGGGCTTGGAAAAGCAGATATGAAGGAACTTAAAAAATTCTTCAATTGTAAAGATATGCCACTACAGACCCAAAGTTAAGAACACTTGTTCCTTGGATATGAAAGCTGAAGAAACATCTTGGGGAGATGTGAGCATTTGAGATATAGGGATTCAGCTTTACAGATATCATGAATAGCCTGAAAGACAAATTAATTTTACGTCAAATCAAACTGAAACTCTCACTAGAAGGTAAAATTACTATACTGAGGTTGTTATACTATAGATATATCATAAGAGCCTAAGAGTCATGGGAAAATACAATAATGACACTTGGAATGGGGGCACTGGGAAAAGAGAATGCTTGAACATGAGATGGATTGATTCAATAAGGAATGCAAGCCCTGAGCACAACTTGAACCTTTGTTGTTGCCATTGAGGTCATTAATTCATAAGGTTGCCATAAGTCAGATGCAACTTGATGGCACGTAACAGAAAAAATAAAGAACAAAACAGAACTTTTTGATCTCCAGACCATGGATAGGCTATGTATACAGCAGACTGGAGTGGCAATTGAATCTTACTTCAATATTAGAAATGACAGTTTGCTACAGTACATCTGAAGTTTAGGGACGTTGAGGTCATTAATTCATAAGGTTGCCGTAAGTCAGATGCAACTTGATGGCACGTAACAGAAAAAATAAAGAACAAAACAGAACTTTTTGATCTCCAGACCATGGATAGGCTATGTATACAGCAGACTGGAGTGGCAATTGAATCTTACTTCAATATTAGAAATGACAGTTTGCTACAGTACATCTGAAGTTTAGGGACTTCTGTGGACATGTCTTATGGAAGTACGTAATGATATTTCACCACACTGTTTCCTTCTGGTATGTTCCCTCTCCTGGTTGCAAGAGATCGGAAACATAACGATCTACAACTCCCAGGATGCCCTAGCAGAAATGGCCAGTGGCCATGCCAATGATGGGATTCTGTTGACCTGTTTGCAACTTCCGGGTGAGGGAGCTATCCTGTAGCTTCTCATGCAAGGAAGTGGAATGCTCTGTGGCCGCCACTTGAACTGTCATATCAGCACTGAGCAGCCAGAAATGGATGATTTATTTATTTTTGGAGATTCTTTTGATGGCATGATTTTTGGTAGATGGTGAAATTATTTGATGGGATTTTTATCCTGCTCCCAGGAGCTGTTTCATGCTTTCTTGTAGTGTTCTAGTAGTACTCTAAACAACAACAACCAATAAATACACGTCTCCTTCACTTCTCCAGTGAAGGTTATCTTGTTAGTAATGTTCCTGAAAACTGCATAATAATGTTTCATGGTACAGCTTTTATTCAAGAATGATGTAGTTCTCCTACGCTATTTGGAGAGCTTGTTTGTTGATCAAGATGAAGCTGGCAGTAAGCTATAAGCAGACCTGTTTGGGCTTTGGCACAGCTTGGAATCCTACTATTAGCATAAAGAAAGTGGATTAGTGTAGCTAAGTTAGCTGGTTCCCGAGCTATTAAAATGTTTGGGAAGGAGCAGAAAGCTACAATTCAATGAAAAAGCCTTTCTTTTTTTTCAGGCCATGAAAATGAAGACACACACAAAAAACCCTCTTTATATTCTATATGGAAGGATGAAGGGTTTTGCAAGCTGCAGATAAGACTATCACTCTCCACATAGGTCATGGACTGTCACTACCATGTTGCATGTGACAGTTCAGTGACAGAACAAAGAGATGATGAAGGGAAAAAAAGAATGTCACAAGGATTCATGTGTGGCATTCTTCATGTGCAGCAACTATCAGATTCAGAAGTCTTCTTGTAACAGACAAAAATATAACTAGTGGATGTCAGGCATGGCGGCTTGAGACTTTGTTGCCTAGCATTGCCTTATTTCTTGAGAAAGCTATACCACCAACCTCCATGTTCAGATCACAAAAGGGCAAAGGATGCTGTACTCTGTGTCATAAGGGCCAAACTGTAATTACAGTTGTCACACCTTTAGAAGAGGAGATTTTTTTAAATGCTGAGAACAAAACATGAGTTTTTCACACCTCCATTAGTTTTTGAGGTAGTGCTGTCGTTAAACAGTGGTTCTTAACCTGGACGATATCGCCCCCCCAGCGGGTGATTTCGTTTTTCAGGGAGGCGATGGAACGAAAAGGGGCAACGCGGGGGTGAAGGAACAGAAGGGGGTGATAGGGGGTGATGGAGCCGCCACGCCACCTCTGCCATTGGGGAAGTTATCATCGCCCCCCTCCCCGTGCCGCTGGATCCAGAGCAGCTGGTGCTGGCAGCAGATGTGGTGCTGCTGGTGCCACTGCAGCACCGGCACCACCATTGAGGAAGTTATCATCGGCCCCCTCCCCAATGGCTCAAGGGAGCGTTTCTTTCAAAAAGGTTAGCTGTAGTAGACCGATCCATTTTGTGATTGATCTTTGAGAGGTAGACACAGATGTCATTTTTAAGTACGATTGCTTAGTCGCTAAGGTCTGCGGGAATTGTGTCTCTGCAAGGAATTACACTTTCTGATGTGGACACAAGGGGAAAAGTTGAAATCCCTTTGCAGCTTCACTACTGCTTATAACCTTGATTTCACATTTAAAAACAACAACACATAATTATAATAATTTAATTTATGTCATATTTAGTTACTCATTTTGCTAGAATGAAAGACAGCTGGTAACAGCTAATAGTTTGTGTACATGTATGCTGGGAGGGGTTCTGCTGTATAATTGGTTAATGTGCAATGGAGGGTTTAGGTTTTTTTTTTTTTAACCTAACAAATGTATTATTTCAAACAGATACAAATTTTGTCCTGGGCAATGCCCAGATAGTGGATTGGCCCATTGTGTACAGCAACGATGGATTTTGCAAGCTCTCAGGATACCACAGAGCAGAAGTGATGCAGAAAAGCAGCACTTGCAGGTATGTCAGTGCTGATTTCCTTTTTCTCTCTTTAAAAAAAAGTAATGATGCTATGTTTTTGCTCAAGCAAAATACATCTTTTAAAAAATGGTATGTTCATCCTGCTTCTCAGTTTCCTTTTTGTCAGATTATGAAAACAGCAGCTGCAGCTTTGTGGCTGAGAGTCTAGGATTGCTTCCAAAGGGACTTTGTGCAGGCTCACTGTGTTTGACACCAGCAAACCACATGAGAGGGGAACACATTCCTCACAACAGCATATATATGACATTTCCCCATTTTACACTCATGGGAGGCAATCTAATGGTGTGCGATAGGTTGGGAGTAGGTGACTCATCTGGGGCTGTTCTTCAGGACTGAGCTGGGATTCATAGCCAGGTTTCCCTTTTGGGAATTTGGCCCAATCTTCTACCACTATTAATCTTCAACTAACGGGTTATGAGCCACACTTTTCCTGCAGTACATGCCCAAATGTAAACACTTGTGATTTTTTTCCTCTTTTGTTTGTGGATATTTATGTATGTATGTCTTTATTTATTTATTGAGATGAGGAAAGAATAGGAGCGAAATGCAAACAAAAATCTGCTACTAGAGCAAGTATATGCACATATGTAAATTGTGCCGCAAAAAGAGGAAACTGAATATTTTCTGTCCGAGATACTGATCTGCTTCAAACAAGGATTTCTTCTTCAGAAAAATAGTTGTTGGCCTGCATGCAACATTGTATAAGCAGCCTTCTGCTTGTGCAGCAGGCTTCACCCTTGATCTCCCTCTGTTACCAAGCCACTGGAGCAGATTTTGGAACTCCGTAAAAGTCTATAAGGAGAGAGAAGAGTCATGAGGGTCTCTTCTGCTGACAGTCATTGGATATGACCGATGACCAATTAACAAGCCGAATTCTATGGGTATGCGAATTCTAACAGAAGCACTCTAAGAACTTTTAAACCTATTTTGCTCACATATTTTAAGGTATGTCCCATTCAATTCAATAGGGCTTACTTTCTTAGTAGATGAGTATAGAGTTGCATTTCAAGTCCTTTGTATCAATATTTTGTGCTTATGACTCTGCAGTATTCCTTTGATGTCCTTTTATTTCCTTGCAGTTTTATGTATGGGGAGTTGACAGACAAAGACACAATAGATAAAGTCCGGCAAACATTTGAGAACTACGAGATGAACTCCTTTGAAATCTTGATGTACAAGAAGAACAGTAAGTTGAATTTTTGACTCACTTTTTAATAGTGTTGAAATACTAACAAAGCAGGTAGGCAAAAAAAGAGGATGAATTCTTTGATTCCTTGGACTTTGTTTGTTCAGTCGTTTAGTCGTGTCCGACTCTTCGTGACCCCATGGACCAGAGCACGCCAGGCCCCCTATCTTCCACCGCCTCCCGGAGTTGTGTCAAATTCATGTTGGTTGCTTCGATGACACTGTCCAACCATCTCGTCCTCGGTCGTCCCCTTCTCCTCTTGCCTTCACACTTTCCCAACATCAAAGTCTTTTCCAGGGAGTCTTCTCTTCTCATGAGATGGCCAAAGTACTGGAGCCTCAGCTTCAGGATCTGTCCTTCCAGTGAGCACTCCTTGTGTTCCTTGGACTACCATTTGTGTTCCTTGTTTTCCTTGATGACCACTTGTGTTCCTTGGACTACCATTCCTTGGACTACGAGTGTCATAATTCTCCATTATGAGAGTTTTGCCTGACAGACAGGCACCTTATGGACATCTAAATGTGGCTCACCTGGGAGAAAGGACTCAACTAGAAGAATCTGGGGCTGAGCTAGGTCTAACTCTACCTAGCTTCCTGTTCAGAAAGCTAGCACTTCTTGCCTTCACACTTTCCCAACATCAAAGTCTTTTCCAGGGAGTCTTCTCTTCTCATGAGATGGCCAAAGTACTGGAGCCTCAGCTTCAGGATCTGTCCTTCCAGTGAGCACTCCTTGTGTTCCTTGGACTACCATTTGTGTTCCTTGTTTTCCTTGATGACCACTTGTGTTCCTTGGACTACCATTCCTTGGACTACGAGTGTCATAATTCTCCATTATGAGAGTTTTGCCTGACAGACAGGCACCTTATGGACATCTAAATGTGGCTCACCTGGGAGAAAGGACTCAACTATTAGAATCTGGAACTGAGCTAGGTCTAACTCCACCTAGCTTCCTGTTCAGAAAGCTAGCACTGTGGCAGGAATAGGAAGCTTAGATGGAGACAGGCCTAGCTCAGCCTCATAGTCTTTCATGCCTTTCTCTCCAGATGAGCTATATTTAGATGTCTAGAAGGTGTTTGTCTCTCTGACAGAACTCTCAGAATGGAGAATTATGAGATTTGTAGTCCAATAAATCAGAAAATGCTTTCCATGTTTTTAGACACAGATCCTATGCGTATGACTCAGCAAACTCAATTCTGGCTAATGGCTAGGTAGAAGGCATATGGTGGGAGAACTGGCAGGTGGCCAGGTGTACTAGAAAGTGGGCCAGCCAGTCCATGGTGAGCTCTTTGCTAGCCCCTTTCTTGTTCTAATCTGGAGCTGCCTCAATCCTCATTGCAAACAAATGTGGCGTTAAAATATACAGCTCAAGAGAACGGGGTGCAAGAAGTGCAAGTTGTTTGTTGAGGGTTGGATTTCCCAATTGAAACTTGGGAAAACATCACTGGCAAAGAGCTCAGTCCTCACTAGCCAGAGTGGCTAGGCGGTAACTGACCCAATGCCAGGCCAGCTGAAGCTGGGCTGAATCCAAATCCCCTGCAGCCTAGGGATGTTGGAAATTATTTAGGTCTACTCTTGCTCTAGCTTAACTTTTTGCTAGCATTGTGGCAGTGTCCATGGGCTTGGGGAGATGCAGATGTGGTGTAACTTGGCTCTTTCTTACACCTGATGTTTTTATGGCTCTTTAGCTGGTTGATCTAAGCCAGCACATTGTTCCATTTTCAAATCTCTAAAATCATGCAGCAGAAAAGAATTCTACCAGAGGCATTTCTGCTGATAGAATGGGATTTCTAATGGCAAAAAAGGGGTCATATGTAATCCCAGTCCTCTATGTATATCTGGTGTATCTTTGAGTTAGGATTTCACTACTTCTTTTTCTCTGTTCCCTGATTCCCTGCTACTGATTCATTCTTTTGTTCGTTCATTCAATATATCTAATCAATTATGTTTACCAATATATAAAATAATATACAGTGGTACCCCGCATAGTGATGATAATCCGTGCAGCAAAAATCATCACTATACGGATTCGTCGCTATGCGAATTTAAAAAGCCCATAGGAATGCATTGAAACCCCTTCAATGCATTCCTATGGGCTTAAAACTTACCTTTTAAGCAAAAATCCTCCATACAGCAGCCATTTTGGGCGTCCAGTAAGCGAGGAACCCGTCCCTGTTTTACCCGGCGGCCATTTTGGAACCACCGATCAGCTGGGGAAAAAACATTGCAAAAGCGATCGCAAAAACATCGTCACTATGCAGATTCGTCATTAAACGGGGCGCCCGTTATGCGAGGCACCACTGTACCAAGGCTATTTCAGTGAACTAAAACAGATGCTAATATGCAAGATATGATAATAATACATATATCTCAGCTATAACACTTAAAATCAGGAACTCAAAACACATTTCACAAACTGGCAGCAACAATCAGTCTGGGAAGGCCTGGTGATAAGCACATCACCATTGGCACTTCTGGAATATCAGAATATTTGAAAGTCTGTTTCCAAAAGATGGACATTACCACAGGCAAGGCCATTTTTTGAATTGCCGCCAGAGGGCAATCTGGAGTTTATAGTGTAACCAGCAAATACTCAACCACTCATCTTAGCTGATTGCACAGGTCTGTAGTGGGTGTAGCACTCTGCTATCTAATCTGACCCTATGTTGCTCAGGGCTTTTTATTACTTCAACAACACCTTGAACATGGCTTTATAGCTAGCAAGCGCCAGTGCAGTTCCTTCAGCATTGGTGTAGTATATGTGCAGCCAGGCTCTTCACTCCTTATTGTGGCTGCTGCATTCTCCACCAGCTGCAGTGTCTGCAGTCACAAGCATCATTCCCCAGAAAGCTCACTGTATTTATATGTGAGAGTAGCAGTGCATGAATTACACTGAACAACTTATCCTTAACGAGGAAAGGGCATGTTCGGAATATCAGCTGAAGCTGGTAATAGATGTTCTGCCAGACTTTATACTTCTCTGTGGGAGTACAATTCCATCTACAAGAGATAAACATCCCATCTCCCCTCCAAATTATCTTTGGAAGATAATTTGAAGAGTAAGGCAAGGTTTGCCTTTGTTTATGACTGGTGTGTCAGTGAAGACACAAGCCAACAATCTTTGTTCAAACATCACAGTAAAACTAAACAGTGTCAAGGTGTCCAGGGGCTGCCCACCTCCATACTGGGCCCTGAAGGACTACATTTGACCTCTGTCCTTTGACACTCATAAAAAATGTTAACATTGTATATTTAAAAACCCAGTTTTCAAAATAATCAAAAAGGCTGCATGTAGCTCCTGGAGCAATTTTTAAATATCTTTTACTTTCAAAATGGTTCTGCACCCAGGATATGCCTTTTTCAAACCAGAAGTTGCCTTTGATTTTGAAAGACCTGCCCCTCTTCTGGCCTTCAAACAGCTGAGTGGTGGCCAAAATCATGCTGAAATTCCCCTGTGAAACTTGATAGCAAGTAGAAATTGAATAAGAAAAAGTAGTGAAACATATAGCAACATATAGTAACGTAGCACACATATAGCAATAAGATTCCTTATGCCAAAGATAGGGAAATTTAGCTGACCTTGACTCCCAGAAACACAATAAGGCCTACGTGACCTCCAGACACATTGGAATGTTACCAAATGTTACATGGGAGGTGTGAAGAGGCCCATTTACAACACAAGAAATCCTCAGTCCTCAAGAAAAACAACAGCAAAATATAGATAAGGAATACACATCTGGGGTGTCAAGACTTCTGGAAATTAGAAGGACAATGAGAGGGAGGGCCTCCACCTCTTTCCATTCCCTGTCAAGAACCAATTGCTCACCAGATCACAGCGGGAACACCAGTTAGGGCAAGGATCCAAACTTGTTGCAGATTAAGCCCAATCACGATTTTGGGATTTATGACTCCCTATTTGTAAACAGTATATATATATTCCAACCAATGTATTTTTGCCCCAGCTGACTGTTTTGGCATACTTTGTTTTCTAAGTAAAATGTGTTGTAACACAGCTGGTTCGTCTGTATCTGATCCTCTGCCGGACATTCGCTCGAATTTCCTAAAAGCCTCAAAATCAAGGCTAACATACTTCTCCTCTCAAAGATTATGATGTGTCTTTTTGAAAAGAAAGAAAAGAAATGTTTTGAGGTTGTGGGCACTGGGCTCATATAGAATCATAGAACAATGGAATTAAAAAAGACCTACGTATATGGCCATTGAGTCCAATTTATTTATTTAACGTATTTTCACTTCACCTTTCCCCTTAAAAGGACCCACAGAAGCTTATTTAATTAAAAGGACAACATTTAAAAGCTAAAAACAATTAGTATACAAATATTTAAAAAGAATTAAACAAATATGTTAAAAACAGTAAATTAAATCAATACTACAAACACATTTAAAGCAACAGAGCACAACAATCCAGTTTGAAAACCGCCTCAGAGGAAGGGCAGGATCTGTTCTCAGTCATCCCAGAGTGCAGGACATGTAATAATGGCTCAAATCATAAGAAACCAGATTTTGGTTGAATATCAGGGAAAAAATCCTAACTTTTAGAGCAGTACAACAATGAAACTAACTATTTTAGGAATTGTGAGTGCTCCAACACTGGAGGCATTCAAGAGAAAGTTAGACAACTATCTAACCGATATACTTTAATTTGGAATCCTGCATTGGCCATGGGGGTTGATCTTTATGGCCTTATAGGACCCTGCCAACTCTGTTATTTTGTGATTTTGTATCTGACAGATGGATATCTAGGTTTCTCTTAAACATCCAAAAGATTTGGAGTGCTCACCACTTTCTGAGATAATTGGTTCCATTGTAGTTTTCTAAATTGCCCAGCCTGGCACTGAACAAATCAAAAGTGGAAAGTTCAGGTATGAGGAGCAAAGCAGAAGTGAATGAGGAATGTGCACAGGTGCACAGGATTGCTCATGATAAGCCATGTGGTAGAAAAAACTTGGCAGAAGACAGCAGTTGTGTCTTGTTTTTTTCCAGTAT